TGAATGTCATATTCGCTATAACAGACTATGTATTTAATACTACAGAATACTCTTCATTGAATTCTATTGGGTGACAGACATTCATTTGTCTTCATGAGCAAAATTCCCTTCGGGGGCTTCCCGGTGCTAATGGAGACTGCTGCCTCCGGTCTTGGCTTCCACCCGTCCCGCTTTTCATTTGTCTCTGGTTCCACGTGTCGCTTTACTATACGAGCATTTAATATGAACCAATTTAACCCTATACAACTAGGAAGGGGATCCCAAGAGAAATTAGTTTATTTCTATGTGACATGTAGGTCATAGGTTCCAGCCATGGAAACAGCCGCTGATGCTTGCATCAAACTAGACTTCCTACATTTGGAGCGGCTCTTCCGCATAATCTGCATAAACGCGAGATTTCCCTCCCCCCCCCCGACCCCATAAACAACTGCATTATATTACGTCATAGCATGTCTCAAATGTTCATATGATGCTACAACATCATTTACAATCCAACTTGGTGGGTGCACCATACTGCCCTTTTTATTCTACGGAAAAGGGCCACAACTGACTCTAAACTATAGTTTCAGGGTTAAAAATAATCTCCGTTCACCTATTGAGTTATTGGTGTTCCTAACGTTATTTCTATGGCTCTTACATTCCACTCCGGTTAACGGCTCATAATTTTAAAAAAAAGGTTAATCAATAATTACGTGGCAATTTCTCATTGGCCTATTTTGAAATAAGGGACCCTATTACATATCCGCACCTGGTGAACCATAGCCGCCCCAAAAAACTCACCCACTTCAACCCACAAACAAATAAAATATGTATTTCACCTACTCTAACCCTTATTTTACTCGGCCATCGTCTTCTCTCTTGTTTAGGCGATTTCATAATCCCGAAAATGTCTGCCACTTTATAGAGATTGAGTAGTAAAATATTCGTTAAAGTTGAAGGACTGAAGTTAAAATACAAGATTTTCTCTCATTCAAGTAAGATTCTACTACTTTTGTGAATAATATATGTTTAGGGTTTTCTTGAATATGTAAACTTTTATTGCATTTGAAGTTATAAGAATATTTACTTCTTTCTTCCATGCTTCGATGCCTTTGTTTAGTCAATTTCACATCGCATGTGGTCCAAATTTATTTTGTGTTGTCCGAAATATAGGGTTTAAGGGAATGGTCTCTGGTTTCTTTATTCTTATGTGGTCCATTATTTTGTTGATTCATGCTCTATATTTGAAGCTTTTAGGTTATTTAGTTGTTTGTTGGTTGCATGTGGTCTAATGTTTTATGTTTCTGGTAGGGTTTGGGAATTGATTTCTTCTGTATTTATTCATATGGGGTCTCATTTGTGATTAATTCCAAATATCTATTCGTAGCTTTTTATTTGTTATCTCCTTGGTGGTTGCATGTGGACCCTTACCTTTTTTTATTGTCTGTTTTTTAGGGTCAATAAAGAACGTTAGTTTGTCTTTTATTTTTCTGTTTTTATATTTTGGATGGGTCCCTTTATCTTATTATTGTATAGCTTGCATATGACTATATGTAGAATACTTGAGAATGAAGGTCTTTAATAATGGGGGCAGACGGGTCTTGAAGCCTCATGTGATTTACATTAAAAATCTAAATCATGTGTTGCAAGGATATGATGTAGATATGCTGTCTTATATTGATATTTGTGTTGAATACACTGAAGTCCTTAGGTTAAGGGATATGAAACAGATTTTAGTCACAGGGTCTTCAGGTAGATACTATGTGGTTGAGGGTGATGAAGGCATTAGAAAACTAATATCTGTACTATCTACCAAGTTCAATGTGGTTCAATTATTTGATGTACATGCAGGTGAAGAACAAGTAATAGCTCATAACATTATTCAGTATAATGAACAAAATATTGGCACATTACATATTGGTACTGATTGTGACTCCTCTAATGAAGAGGGTGGTAGTGAAACTGATTCTAGTGATTATGATAGTGAGCAGTTGGAATTCTTTAGGAAGGAAATAACTAAAGAAGCCACTGAAAACTAGAAAAATATAAAGAACTAGAAAACGAAATGAGTTTTAAAAGCTTGGCTGAAGCTAAAAGAGTTATGGGATTTTATGCAGTTGCTGCTAGCAAGGGCCTAAGCAAAGAAGAGTGACACTACTAGGATGAGATATAAATGTGACATATGATGTCCTTTTGTGTGCCATATATCCAAGAATAAAAAAGAACAAGGAATTAAAATCTAGACCTTAAACTTGGAACATAACTGTGACCCAGCTTATAAAAATAGAAGAGCTACTGCCAATACTTTAGCACACTATTTCAAGAACAATGTTCAAAATAATCCAAAGTACAAGGTAAAAGACATGAGAGTGAATCTGGAGGATCAATTCAAACTTAATGTTAGCTATTCCATAATGAAGAGGGTTAAAGACTTGTGTTAGAGAAATTGGAGGGTAGCTACATTGATGATTACAACAGATTAGAGGCTTATGGTCAAGAGTTGAGGGATAGAAATGTTGGATCTAATGTGGTGATAAACATATCCAAAGATGCTTTGGAATAAGGAAAAAGAAAATTTCTCAAAATGTACATTTGTTTCTATGCTTTGAAAAAGGGTTGGAAAGGAGGATTGAGGCCTTTAATAGGTCTAGATGACACTTTTCTAAAAGGAAAGTGTAAGGGAATATTACTTGTTGCTATGACACAAGATTCAGTGAAACATTTTTATCTCCTACCTTGGGCAGTGGTGGATAAAGAAACTGGTAGGACTTGGAAGTGGTTTCTAGAGATGCTAAGAAGCTCCTTGGATTTGCAAGATGGTGAAGGAGTGAGATTTATATCCAATATGCAAAAGGTAATATCTAACTATTTTTTATCCACATGTTTCTTTCTACTTATTTGACTATATGTTTAGATTGTTTTCATTCTTGTAGGGTTTGCTTGATGCTGTTTCTACTGTGCTTCCCAGTGCAAATCACAGATGGTGTTTAGGCATATAGAAGCTAACTGGAGCAAGAAGTGGAGGGGTTTGGAGTTAAAGAAGCGTTTGTGGTGGTTTGCTTGGAGCACATATGAAGAGGAACTCAAAGATCATTTGAAGTCCATGGGTGATGTGATTGAAGAAGCTGCTAAGACCGTAGTAGGATATCCACCCCAAAATTGGTGTAGGGCATATTTTGACACCGTTTACAAGAACAACATGGTGGACAATAACTTTATAGAATCTTTCAACAAATAAATTTTAGAAGCAAGACAAAAACCTATAATCAAGATGTTGGAAGAGATTAGAGTTAAGGTAGAAATTTGTTTCTTTATTGTTTTTTTTTATTTGCTTAACTATTTTTTAACTTCTTAACTGTTTTTTATTTGTTAACTGTTTCTTTCACTTCTAACTGTTTTTTCACTTCTTAGCTATTTTTTTCATTTGTTAATTATCTATGAGGAATGTCTTCTAATTATCTATCTTTGATAAATGTCTTATGTGGTTGTTACACGATTAATTCCTTTGCAATTCAATGAAGAGACAAACAAATTAAGGAATAGTCAAATAATGAACATTCCACTTAAAAACTAAAAAACGACTCTCCAGGCGGTTACCTTTTTTTTCATATTCATATTTATATCCTCTGCAACAATTGTTGGGACGGACTTTCGTGGAAAAGAAAAAAGCCCTTTATCGGATTGGAAGCGATGACTTAAGCCTCTTTCTTCTTCTTTTCTTATAGGGCGTTTAAAGAGCGTGACTCTTTAGTTTAATTAAGTTCAAATTAGTTAAATTAAAAGGCCCCATGCTTGATTGAAAACAACAAGAATTGCTATAAAAATTGCATATTTGTTCGTGACAAACAAAAAGAACCAACTAAGTTGGGTACATTGCAGTGCACCTGCAAATTTTTCTACTACACCCACAACAACTAAGATGCTGAAACTGGATACCAACTAACATTTAACACCCACACAACTTTATTTGACCAAGCCAATAACATAATACAACAAAAGAAATATGCAACTTCAACTTCAACACACGGTCTTCACTGCTACAAAACAAACAAAAAACGTCCATGACAGCAACAAAATTTTTTTCATCGTTGCAATTTTAATTCCAAGTTCGACACTTTTTTCTCCAAGCAAGTCGCTTTCTTCAAATGTGCAGCATTACTACCTAACAATTCATCCAGGGTCTTCTTCAAATTGTTCCTTTCTTTACGACGAGTATTCAATAAAATCTTTTGGGTGTGGATAAACATTGACACATGGGGCGAAAGTTCTACATCGCGCCATTCCCAATAACGACAAGCAATGTCTTCAGGACGAGGACATTTAAAGAATCTACGACCACCATTCATAAGTGTCGTAGCAGTAAACTGGTTGGCAATCAATCCGCAAAAGCATGTGTTGGATTGACCTGATTCACGAAAAGAAATAGAAGATTCCGACATTATAGAGGACTCCTGCCTGATTTTGTTGCATTTGAGAATCCAAATTGAGAGGTGGGAGATGGGGAATTTGCTCCGTAAAGAGAAGAGAAGAACGATGGCTAAGAAATAAGGTGAAATCCGTTTTTAATTTAGGTTATTTGTTTGTGGGTCGGAGCGGGTGGATTTTTTGGGGCGGGTACAGTTCAGCTGGTTCAGATATGTAATGGGGTCCCTTGTTTCAAAATAGGCCAATGAGAAATTGTCACGTAATTAGTGATTAACCTTTTTTTTTAGTTATGAGCCGTTAGTCGGAGTGGCATGGAAGAGCCATGAAAATAATGTAAGGGACACCAATAACCCAATAGGTGAACGGAGGATATTTTTAACCCTGAAACTATAGTTCAGGGTCAATTCTGGCCCTTTTCCGTTTATTCTATACTAATTTGTCAAAATATTCTCCTAATCTCGTCCGAACGCCTCATAAACTGCCAATTGACAAATGCCCAATCCCCCTTCGGTAACTTTTTTTGTCTCCACTCGCGCGCATATGGAAAAGCTGATAAGTCAATTAACTGACTGACAGCGCGTGCAACTTGAAATTGCTGAATATAAATTCGATCTCCTACTTAAAAGCGTGACCAAGCTAACGGTCATCTCTTTAAAAAACCGAACGCCTCTGAGTTTCTGTTTCAATGTCTCTCCACTCTCTCGTTTCCCGTGTATAATAGAAAAAAACTAGGGATTTTTGAGTGTGAACTAATAATGGTGAAGATCATAGCGTGCTTTCAGCTTCCAAATCGGAGTTCTAGGGTTTGGACTCCATTTCTGCTAAACAATGGACTCGTTCGGAGTTTTGGTTACCGCAAACTTCCTGAACAGCTACTCAATCTCTCCGTCCTCAAATTGGATGGCTCTTCATTCGGTAAAATTAGATGAATACTGGAGTGTAGTAGTTAAGTTTTCTTTGCATTTCGTTGTTGTATTATGGCTAATGCCGGTTGTTTAAATGGACTTTTGAATAGTAATTCATGTAGCGAGGAATGCTACAGTAGCGGACCTTAAGCAAGCAGTTGAGGAAGCTTTCAATTTCTCGCGGGAGGATGAAGGAAAAATTTTGTGGTATGAATTAAAGCAAATTATTTTGTACAGTTGTTGACCCTACACGAGAAACAGAGGCGTATCTAGCCTTTGCAATGGGTTCAATTGAGCTTATTGCTTTTAATTCGGTTACTTATGCATAAAAAGGGGAATTATAATTAAATTCATATATAATGGACTCATCAATTGTGAGTTTTTAAATATTGGATCCGCATTTACGAGAAGGCATTACCATATTGGAGACATGCTTTTGTTGCACTGTATTAGTGGGAAAAAAATGAAGAAGAACTCGGTAGATGTGCTGTGATAATATGATAATGGAAATGGAGTCAAATTTTACAATTTTTTGGTGCAATGGTTCAGAAAGTTCTAGAATTGGTTGTTATAATAGAATTTGTCATTAATTCAACTGCTTGCTAGTAATTGGTGTTTGAAATTTTCACTGTGTAGTGTCAGTGACAGCAATCTTGTTGAATGCAAATTGACTGAAAATAAATGGAGTAAATTAAGATTGGAGGAAATTTTGAACTTGCATCTTGATGTAAATATGGTAGGTCTTAAAATTGTATTGCCTGTTGATGCAGGTCGCTCGTATGGAGCCACTTTTGTTTGTGCTATGGAAGTCAGAAACTTGTTAATGACAAAGCTTTGGTTAGCTGTTTCGGAATCAAAGATGGAGATCAGGTCAGTAGCCTATGTTACTTACTGATTGGGAATTTAAAAAAAAAAAGAAGCTAAAGGAACTATGAGATGTGATGAGTTCTGGATAGCCATGTGGGCTTATGATGCAGTCAGTGCTTGAAGAACCGTATGTACATACTAGCTCAGGCATCACATATTACTTAAGTTAGCATAGCTCCACATTTTCGGGACCAAAGCAAAGAATTTGTTCTTAAGCATACAATTTTCTTGCTTTCAGCCTCATGATATGTTTGAATCTTCCAGCTAGAATAAATTCTTGATCAAGTAATAAATCTGCCTCGGCTGAATTTGTGCCCTTCTCTTGCTGGTTCCTATGACAAAGATAAGCTAGTACCTGTATCCTAACTAAGACTGGAACCTAGGAGAGATAATATGTGGATTCGAGGTATTGGAAATTCATCCCAGTTTAATGAATATGAATCTGCTTTGGATGTGCACTGAATTGATAAATGTATCTACTTATTGGATATGATTCTGCTTTTGAATGTGAATCTGCTTTGGATGTGCACTGAATTGATAAATGTAGCTAGTTATTGGAAAACCTATATGGCTTATAGAACAAGCAGTGAACATTCTATACCCAGTTTCTGCCTCCGTGGTACAGACACAAACATACACATAAATGTATGTAGACACACACATTTTCTGAAAACTTCATAATCAAGCTCTCATTAGTCGAAATGCTCTTATGAACTTCAAGAGTGGTCTCCCAATACACTCATTTTGTGCTTCTTACAACCGTGGTCTTACACTCTTTTTCTTTATTGTGTGGAGTCTGCAGCTTCAATTTGCACAGCATGCGACATTGGAGTACAGGCCAGCTAAACAAAAATGGGGAAGCCAGAGTAACCAGTCCAAAGAATGCTCTATGTAAGGGCATTCCTAAGATGTGTGACCTTTCTTTTCTGAAGAGAGCAAATTTGACTGACCAAAGATATAGTTGATACCAGTATACCACTTCATTTGTATGTCATTTTGATACTCCAATATTTCCCCATTAGACATTTTAAGATAAAGATAAGGAACCTGGTTGCTTTTCTTATGCCTGGATGCTTTCTTTTGGTTGTGTAAGATGTTATTTTCAAGAACCGATTAGCTTAAGTCTAGGCCTATATTCCCCTAGAAGTTCATTGTTGCCTGGGTATGAATATTTAGGTTGGTTCACCCTTCTTACATTGAGGATTGTGTGACCATGAGTTTTGACCCTCCACCTCATTTCATAGTTCATAAGTACTGTCAATACTTCTTACCTGATATAATGTGGAGACTCCATAACTGGAAAGTGTTATGCTTGTGTTCCATCTTCTTCTACTTGTCTGCCAACATCCTATCCTCTAAAATGGTTACATGAGCGTTAGTATCAGACAATCCCTGAATTTTGGGCAGACTCATTTGTAAAAAGAGATGAGATTTGTCTTTAGTGCAAAACTAAACGGAGAGCGTCGGCAGCCAAAGAGTTAAGTTGCAACCAGGTAAGCAGCAAATAACCGAGTTCTAACAGCAGCTTCAATTGCTGAGAACACATGTTTTGGCTTCTACATGTAGCACTGCATGTATATAAACTAGATCATCTGTTAATAAAATTTTAGTGGCATTCTCTAACAGTCTTTTTGCCAGTTCAAATGCGCATGAAGAGAATGTTGAAGGTAATGCCAACAGTGATGCCCAAGAGAAGAGCAAAATAATTGGAGATTTAGACGAGGATGCAATTCCTGCACCAAAATTCAAGCGGTCTCATTTTTTTAAAGGATGGTTATCTCGATCAAAATTTTGGGCCACAAGAAAGCTCTAGGACTTGTATTCCCCTTCACTATGCTACCAGTGGGTCTTTAGAAGTTTGAATACTGACTAGAGCTGAAAAATTGATCAGGTAGAGTGAAAGGGTGTCAAACTGCTTGTGGTGCTGTATATGTTATTGAATTTGAAGATAATTTGTTATCATCTATTTTGTTTATTGTGAATAGGTTGTTCAATCTGGAATTTGTGAGTGCTGTTTCAATTGTTATTATCAAAGCGCTCAATGCTTATCTTAGTTACTCCAATCTCCTCAATGCAGTAGATAGTAGCTAGCGTGCTCATAGAAAGATTGTGCTATATGATAGGATCAGTTAATACGATCTGCTTAGATTTCTCAGTTCTATGTTATATATAGATCATAGCTCCATCCTTCCGTTTTCTGTTTTTCTGCCTTCCAGGCAAAGTGATACTATCGGTAAAAAGGGACTCCGATGAACGACGCATCTCGCATTCACGCAGGGTCTGGGAAAATGTTACATGTAAGCAACAACGTATACTAATGCAAGCATCCGTGGACCCATATTATTTGCTGTAGGGTTCATCTTATTGTTCACCATAGGTGGACTCATTGGAATAGTTCTGGCGAATTCTGGGCTAGACATGCTCTATGTGGTTGCACATTTCCATTATGTATTTTTATGGGAGCTGTTTTGCTTTATTTGCAGGATTTCACTATTGAGTAGGTAAAATCTTCGGTAGAACATACCTTGAAACTTTAGATCAAATCTATTTTTGGATCATTTTTTTTCGGGGTTAATATGACCTTCTTTCCTTTGCATTTCTTAGGGCTTTCGGGTATATGCCAAGTCGCATTCCAGATTATCCAATGGTACTGGTTCAATAGCAGAAGCAGCAGAAGTTGGATAGAGCAAAACTGACACACAATCAGGAAATACCTCTCAGGGGAGACAAGTTGCAAAGAAATTTTTAGCAAGGCTGTTAGTAGCCTAGCCCACTCGTGGTTTGAAAGTACTGTGCTAAAGTGACTCATTGTCCACTCGAATTTTATATAATTTTGAGAAATAGTGAGTCCAACAAAGTGGAAAGTATATCAGTATACTTTGAATCATCTCATATATTTCATAGCTTCTCCAATTGCTGGATAATTAAACAACAGCTAACCTGCTATAACCAATTGGTGTAAAAAAAACTTACAGTGCATATAAGTTAAAAACTAATGATTCCGCTAAAATGAAAGATTATCCATTATATTAATGATAAAACGCTCTAAACATCTCTATAACTAATTATAATTATACTAATTCCCCTTTTAAAACGGATAGGAAGAGAGAATCGCTCAACAGTGTATTGCTCAAGACGCAAGTACCACGTAGCAAGCAAAAACAACACATGTCATTCTACCATTCCCTAATGCTGACACGTATTAGGCCAGATCATTCCTGTCTTCTGGATTGACCTATATTAGGCCACTTCTCGAGTCTACCACAGTTACTTCTCTCTTGTTTTTCACCCAAGTTTGAAGCAACTAAAAAGAAACAAAAAAAAACAAGTCTCAAAATCAAGAAACAGAGTATATACAAATCATGCAAGCAACTATGGATGTACAACGAAGCCCCAAAAAACCTAATCAGCACCAAATGCTGAAAGACAAGCAAGTAAAGGATCTACTGGTAGACAAAAGAAGGCTAGTGGAGGTTCCATATACAGCCACGTTAGCAGATACAATAAATACTCTGATGGCTAACAAGGTGGTGGCTGTTCCGGTGGCTGCGCCGCCGGGGCATTGGATAGGAGCTGGTGGTTCTATGATTTTGGAATCTGATAAACAAACTGGTGTTGTAAGGAAACATTATATAGGGATGGTTACCATGCTTGATGTTTTGGCTCATATTGCTGGAAATGATAGTGCTGATGATGCTGATCTTGCTAAAAAGATGGCGGTCCCTGTTTCCTCTATCATAGGACATTGTATTGAAAGTCTTAGTTTGTGGACCCTTAGTCCTAATACTAGGTATGTTGTTGGTAATTATTTTTCAAATTGATTGCATATGTGAAGTTCAAACTAACAATGATGAGTTTAAGGGGCTTATATAAGGTGCTTAGCTTATAGCAACAATAAAAATTAAAAGGGGCTAAGGCCTAAGTTACTCCTGGTTAGTTTCATTTAAAAACTTTTATAGTATAAATACTGATTGCGATACTAGACCAAAAATTTGTTATCAGTACAATTTCAGTCCAACCAGCTAAGATTTACTCCATCTGATCCAATTTATGTGACACACTTCTCTTTTAATCTGTCTAAAAGAATGTTACCTTTTTATTTTTGGAAATAATTAAGTTTAAGATGATTTATCCTTAATAAGCTGATGAGCTAGAGCCACACACACAAATGTTTAATGTATATGGCTTGTTTTGGATCACAAGTCTTTTTTTAGACTCTATGTCCAGTCCAATGATCCCACATTAAATGGGACGGAGGGGGTAAGTTATGTCACTCCTAATAAATAGAAAAATTTCTACATAGTCAAATAAATTTAACTGTTTGTATCAGGCTATTCTTACTACTTTTAGCACCAAATTTAAACTAGTCAGCTATGCTGCAATTAATCTTCAGTTGTTGGACAGCTAGGCAGTCTCATTACTCGCGTGTTTTATTGTGACTTTCTAATTTGACGAATTTGTCATACTGATTGGTTGCGTTTACTGGATTATATGTTAAGCATTGTGGATTGTATGGAAGTGTTTAGCAAAGGTATACACCGCGCGATGGTGCCAATCGATGGACAATCAGAAAATGTAGCTGGTGTTGAGCTCACGGAGTCTGCATCATGTTATCGTATGCTAACACAAATGGATTTGCTAAGGTTTTTGAATGACTTCCAAGAGCTTAAAGCTATCATGTCGCATAAGGTCTCAGACAACCAATTGCAAGCAGTCACAGATTCTGTTTTCGGAGTTACTAATAAGGCAAAAGTTATCGACGTCATCAAATGTATGAGAACAGGTTCGCTCAGTGCTGTACCAATCGTGGAGTCGTCTGATGACATGGTAGAAGATCATACTCAGCTTGTAAATGTAAGTTAAAACTTTGGTCTGGTCACTCATTGTGAATTTAGTTTAGTATACACTTGTTTTTGTTTGTTTTGTGTTGGTTCTCCTCCCCTTTGATCCCACAAAAGGAGCTATTGCACATATGGTGACTCGAACTCACGACCCTGGGGTTGTAGGTGGGGTGCATTAACCATCTGAGCAACCCCTCTTGTCCCAGTTTCCAGTTTAGTCTACTTTCTTTACTGTTCAAGGTTGCTAGGCATACTTATTCTGAATTGTTATTTGTGGTTATTACACTGTAAAGTTTCATATGATATATGCAGGGGAAACAGAGGAAGATTATAGGAACATTTTCGGCGACAGACTTGAGAGGATGTCCTGTATGGCAGCTGCAGCCTTTATTAAATCAAGGGGTTGTTGATTTCCTGAAGATGTTATCGAAAGCACAATTCTATGAATCTACAGGGCTGAGATCTTCGTCGAGGGAACTCGTGACTTGCCAACCAGAATCATCGCTAGGGGAAGCGGTAGAGAAAGCTGTTTCGAATCATGTGCATCGTGTTTGGGTTGTGGATGAACAAGGGTTGCTAGAGGGACTAGTGTCTCTCACTGATATGGTAAGAGTCATTCGGCTCTGGTATCTTGCTGAGTTCTTGCAATAATGTGTTCGTAGATGCTTTGCGGTTTTGTATCTGCAATTTCTTTGTCTCGTTAGTGAGTGGGGTTTCGTTTATCTGTCTCTTTTATTAAAGAATCAGTAGTCGCGGTCAATGTTGAAAAATATTACTTAAATTATTTTGATAAATTTTGATCGAGCTTGTTTGAACATTAGATCGTATTACTTTATTAAGTTTCAATTGTCACAATTGTCATCTTGTTTATCAGTATTGTCTATGATACAATAATAAAAAATTATTGAATTAAAGGAACTTATATAGTCATTGAATAACTTTTTTGTTTTATATTCTTTCACTATATTATACTTCTTTCGTTTTAATTTATTTGAACCTGTTTGACTGGGCACAGAGTTTAAGAAAAAATGAAGACTTTTAGAATTTGTGGTCCTAAACAAGTCAAAAAGGGGTCCAGAATATTTGTGTGGTTATAGAAGCTTCTCATTAAGGTAGAAGTGTAATTTTAAGTTAAATTGTTACCAAATTTAGTAAGGGTTCATTATTTTTGAAACGGACCAAAAAGGAAATAGGTTCACATAAATTGGAACAGAGGGAGTACAATGTTTAGTATTCTTACATTGTTAATAGAAATTTTTATTAGCATATTACTTTGTTTGATATTTTGTGGTATAGTTTATTACTCTCAAAATATTTTTTATTTTGAAGTTTGTTCTATTTTTATTTTAATGAATAAAATCTTTAATAAATTGAAGGGAGTTATATAGTCATCAAATAATTTTTTGGTCTGTATATTTTTTATTATACTATCCAACTTTTAGTATTATTATATTATTAATAGAAATTTTTATTAGCATATTATCTTATTTAATATTTTTATCTACTACTTTTTTTTTTGTAATAATAGAAGATATATATATATATATATATATATATTATTACTCCTAAATTATTTTTTTATTTTAAATTTTATTCTATTATTCTCAATAATATTGTCTGAAGTCTCAACTTTAATGAACAAATACACTTTTTATTATTTATAGAAAACGAAAATGATTTAAACAAAAGAAACAAAGAACTTAACTAACGTAAACCAACACTGACCCATGTTTGAGTAGTTAAAATTTAGGTAGTTAATTTTTTTTTATCTCTTTCTTTTATTTTCTTTTTTCTTTTCTTTTATTTTTTTTTAAAATAATTATTGAGTCTCCAAATTTGTAGGAGGTTGTCCTAAAATATGACACTTGTTAAAATTTTGTTGTTACACTTGGATATAGACTATCATATTAGGAAGAAACTACTTCCTATTTTGAATTGGTAGTCTTTTATTTTTTCTTATTTTCGAATTTTATAGATATTTAAATTTAAAAATAATAATCGCTAACTAATTTTAATTAAATAACTAACTATGTGATGTAATTTTTTCTAGGCTGTCACTTTGCTTGATACTTTTTCGTTAATGTGGCTGACTTTTTTTAGTGTTTTCAGAAATTAAATTTATAATATGATATATTTTTAATATTTTAATCTTAAAATAACTAAATTAAACGTTTTCACAACAATTAGGATATCTTTAAGCTTTTTTCATAATATAACATCCACATAAAGGTATTTTACTAAACTTAAATTTTCTCTAACCAAGCAAAAAATTCTAACCAAAACATAACTTTAAGCGAAATAAAAAGAAATGGATACGATGACACAACACTAAAAAGTCAAAAACTAAAACGTAAAACCAAATTTTTTCGTTTTTCACATTAATCAATTTAAATCTTTTTTCGTTTTTCACATTAATCAATTTAAAAATAAAAATTAAACAAAACTTTGTTCGGAACACCCCAAAGATAACAGAGCAAGAAAAATACACAATCTTCATACCTTATCCATGAAGGGGTTTCAAGAAAATTGCTTGGCATACTGATAAAAAAATAAATCAAAACATAAAATTAAAAGATGAATGTAAATAAACTCAAAAATAAATGATCAGAACATCATGAAATAACTACAATACTAGTAAATTATTAATGAAGACAGCACAATTACCGTAAATAAACTAAAATACTGATGAAATATCTTGTATTCTTGCTCCAAAATCAAATCAAACTTTAATATAACTATTAACAAACAATCAATTTCTCATCAAGTATTTCGATAACAATATTTCATACATTTCAAAAGTAAGCCAACTATAAAAGCTAATGAAATCTTCAAAATTAATATTCATGAAGAAAATTATTAATCTCAAAGGAAAAATAATTGTTGAAGTCCCATACTAATCTGGCATAAGAAAGCAGAAGTATAAAACTGAAATGTGTGACGGCCCAACCCGTCGTCACGTGTGTTACCGCCCCGTTTTCCCCACTTTTCTATTTCTTTATGCTTCATTATCAGTATTTGATGTGTTAGAGTTGATTTGGATTAGTTCTAGAAGGAAATGAGACACTTAGTCTCTTTAAGGAAGGTTCGTTTTGGAAAAAGTCAATCGGACGTTGACTTTTATGTTAGAGGGCTGGGATATGAATTCCAATGATTCAGTTAGCTTCGGGGGATGATTTGTGACTTAGGAGTGTGATCAAAAGTGATTTTGGAGGTACGGAGTAGAATTAGGCTTGAATTGGCAAAGTTAGAATTTTGGTGAATTCCGGTCGATAGGTGAGATTTTGATCCAAGGGTCGGAATGGAATTCCGAGAGTTGCAGTAGCTTCGTTAGGTGATTTGGGATGTGTGTGCAAAATTTCAGGTCACTCGGAGGTGTTTTGGTTGGGTTTTTGATCGAATGTATGTTCCAGAAGTTTTGGAAGAACTTAGGCTTGAATTCGATGAGAAATGATGGTTTTAGGGTTGTTTGAGGTGTTTTGATGATTGGAGCAAGTTTGAACAAGGCATTGGATCATGTTTGTGTTTTTGGTTGAGGTCCCGGGGGCCTCGAGTTGATGTCGGATGGTTAAACGGAGAGTTTCGGAATTTTTGCATGGTTAAGGTCTGCTGGTATCTGGTATTTTCGCACATGCGGTTGTGGGACCGCAGGTGCGGTCACGCAGAAGCGAAGGGAGGATCGCAGAAGCGATATTTGGCCTGAGTATTGTTTCTGCAGAAGCGGTTGGAGGAGCCGCATCTGCGAAGCCGCAGATGCGGGAATGAGGTCGCAGAAGCGGACCTTGGGACTTTGGGAATTTCCGTAGAAGCGGAAGAAGGCCGCAGGAGCGGAAGTCGCAGAAGCGACAACTGTACCGCAGATGCGGAAACAACTGATCAGAAAGGAGTTTTAATTCCTTCGCGAAATTTCAAAAGAGTTCATATTTTCACTTCGGACTTGGAGAGTTTTTGGGCGATTTTGAAGAGGGTTTCAAGGACTTCGATCATGTAAGAATTCTTGGACTTAGAACACAATTTTATGATGCAAATACATGAATTTTGACTGAAAAATCAAGGAATTAAAGGTCAAGAATGGAGGTTAGGGGTTGAAACCTAAGAGAACAAAAATGGAAATTTGAGGGGTCATTTGGACTCCGATTTTGGTGTTCTTTATATGTATAGACTCGTGGCGAGATAAGGAATCCGTTGATGGTAAATTTACTGATTTTCGAGAAGTGGTCCCGGGGCTCGGATTTTTGCTAATTTCAGGAATTTCACTATTTTTCGATTGTTTTCGATTGGGTATTGTCCCATTAGCATATTGTGATGTATTCGTTGTGGTTTTGATCAGATTCGGTACGCGAGGAGGTTAATTCGAAAGGCAAAGGCATAGCAATCTAGGACTTTGGCCGGCTTGAGGTTATTAATAAATGTAAATGCTGTGTTGAGGGTTTGAAACCTCGAATTTGCACAATGTAGTGCTATGTGAGGTGACTTGCATGCTGGATAACGGGCGTGGGGTACAGCACCGTCGGGGATTGTGACTTGGTCCGTCCCGCTTAATAAAATTACCACCTAATTGATTGTAGATTAGTAACATCCTTATAAAAATGAATTAATCGTCATAATTGGGCTTTGTGCCAACTACTTGAATCCTTCAGAGATTATTTTTACCGGTTTCTTATCATAAATATAAATATTGAACTCAGTCCTGATATTTAATACTGTTTTGTAAACTCAGCCATTTTTCTCAAAGAAGAAACTAAATTAATATTTTTAAATGAAGTTTGGGCTGAATATTTTTATGTTATTGTGCCCGAGGGGCTTATGTGATTTTGGGCTGAGTATGGGATCGGGCTGCACGCCGCAGCGGTATGATATTGATATTGATATGAGGTCGAGGGCCTGTTTGATGCCACGATATGGCTTATTATTGCGCTTGGGCCGTAAGGGGCCCCTCCCGGAGTCTTCACACCCCCAGTGAGCGCCGTCGACGATAAATAAATGGAGCGGGCTGCACGCCGCAGTGGGTACTGGAGAGTACCGGTTTATGTGTTGCATTGCATATTTAATTGTCATTTATTCTTTATTCTAATGTGATAATTCTATAATTGTTTTCACTGTTTTACTGTATCATGCTACTGGTTCATGTTGCTGTGTTTATGGCTTCACTTTGTGCCTATTTAGGATTTCTTATTCTCAGACTGTATTTATGTTTATTACTTTCTGGGTTGGAAGTACTCACATTACTCCCTGCGCCTTGTGTGCAGATTCAGGCGCACCCACTGAGGCTGAGTGAGATCTTTCTCTGCCTAGCATCACATTCGGGAGATTCAAGGTAGCTGCAAATTGGCGTTCGCAGTCCTAATCTTCCTTCTATTTTATTTATTTGTTTTTTCACATTTCTAGAGAAATGTTATGTAGTAGGTTGATACTCATGCATTAGAGGCTCAGACTTGTGACACCAGATTCTATGGGCTGAATAGTATATTATATTTTGGGCTTTCCGAATGTTAGAATTTATTTCAGGATTTTCCCGCATTTAACTTGGTATTTTAGTTGTGAAAACTTATTTATTCACTGTGATTAATCGGTTAAGGTTGTCTAAATGGTCGGGCTTGCCTAGCAGTATGTTGGGCGCCATCACGACCGGGGTTGGGTCGTGACAAAATGTATATCAAAGAGAGACAAAAATGACAATTTAACAAAATAAGGCTGGTCACCATGGCCGAGGAAGAAATTTTGGAAGAAAGAATTGATTAGTAAAGGATTTGAGAGGAGATGAGCAAAAAAGGAAGATGGACCAGGTATAAAAGAAGATTGGGTAAGATGAGAATTTAATGTGTAACTAAAAATTTATGTATGGAATTCGAATAGAA